GTCTTTGAAGGCTCCCGTTAAGTGTATTTTGGATCTCCTTTGTCCGGCTCCTTTATTTATCATTTCCTTTTGATTTCTTCTTTGATTTCCATCAGGTTTTCTTCACTTTTCCCTCCCATTTTCCCCCTCTGTTCCCTCTCGGAGTCTTTTATAGCTATACCCATTTCCACATTTCCTGCAATTAAGTCTTTATTTCTGAAAGTTTTCTTTCTTCCCTCTAAATCCTGCTTGAGATCTTCCTTTATCATCCTCTCCCTGCTTTGTTCTTCTGCTTCATTCTCAGATCTAATAATTCTGTTCTTTCAAAGTGCCAGTCGTTATCTTAATTAAGTTTAGCTAACTCTGAATAGTGCATTCAGACGTGTGCCCGTGGTCCTATCTTTGCTACGTGTCACAGTATTATTGGGTGTATTTCCGTGGCTCTTGTAAAAGAGTTCTGTCATGTCCTTGTTAGGTTGTCCATGGATTAATGGCTTGACCAGTCTATTAGGAACAGACTGTTCCAAATCCAGTTCAAGCAGGCAGCCAGCAGATCACTGAGCCAGAATTCTGCCTTGGTTTCTCCTATCACCACTATGGAAAACCTTGATGTCTATCCAGTATCCTCTCTCAAATCAAGGCAAGTCTGGCATTGAGAGGTTTCTGCCCCAGATGTCAACTTTCCATATGGCTTTCAGGGCATGGGTTTCCCTGGTGGTGTTCAGTTTGACTATTGTATTAGTTACTGTGATAGTTTGAATGTAACTGGCTCTCATAAGCTCATAGGGAATGGCATTATTAGGAGGTGTGGTTTTGTTGAAAGAGGTATGGCCTTGTTGGAGGAAGTGTGTCACTGTGAGGGTGGGCTTTGAGGTCTCATGTATACTAAAGCCACACTCAGTATCCCAGTTCACTTCCTGTTGCCTTTGGATCAAATGGAGCATGCTGCCATGTCCTATCATGATGATAATGGACTAAATCTCTGAACTGTAAGCCAGCCCCAGTTAAATATTTTCCTTTATAAGAGTTGCTGTGGTCATGGTGTCTCCTCCTTAACTTAGATAGTTACTATGACAAAATGCCTGATAAAACAACTTAAAGATAGAAAGATTTATTTGAGCTCACAGTCCAAGGGTACTTCCATCATGATGAGGAAGGGACGGTGACAGGAGCTTGAAGCCGCTGGTCACATTTCAGTGACAGCCAGGAAGCAGAGAGATAAATGCTGTGTTGATCTTGCTTGTGTTGTGAGGTTACTCCACCATAGAACACACATGAACATTCTTAAAGCCTAATATAAAGTCTGTATTGGTGGTTGGTGGCCGCATGGGAAATTTGCTCAAATCATACAGCCCTGATCCTCACAGTCTTTATCTTTTATGCACAAAACCCATATCCTGATTGACACATTTCAGTTATCAAAAACAGTTAGCAAGAAGCAGATCTGCAGAAGCCAAAAAGCAAGGTTAGCACATTTAGGGACCTTCCTGGGTTCTGGAATTATGGACCAGGTCCTTGATAGATTGGGTCTTTATTCCTTCTTTGGCAGGAGTTGGGGCCTATCTGCTGGGTTCTAAGATCAGAATGTTGTACTAAGATCTGGGGACCTGTTACACTTTCTCCTTTTAATTCAGTCCAATAACCTGTACCCGTGGAATGGTGCTACTCACATTTAGGGTGGGTCTTTTCACCTCAATTAACCCAATATACAAACTCCCTCACAGACATACCCAGAAGTTTGTTTCCTAGGCGATTCTAGACACTCAACTGTCAATCAAATAGATCATGCTCTAAAATATGTTTTGAAAATGTGGCAATTTGCCTAAGAAAATGCAATACCGTATCTGTATTGTACCTGTCCATTAAGAACAAGTATGCCTTTTTTCTCTCAGACCTTGTTTTTGTTACTTTCTTGGCAAAAAATTTGCAGCATATTCTCTTGGTTCCCTATTTTTCTAGTTAACATTTTTTTTCATAGTCTACATAGCTTCATGAGTAGGATTTCATTTTTACTGCTTGACTAGGGCTGATACATAAGACTGCTATTGATTTTCAGATATATATTTAGAATCAACATAGTTTTGTTTATACTTCCATGGCTTAGGAAGATGAGAAATAAAATAGTTTTTAGCATAGCAGTGAAGATTAATTGTGTTTATTAACATAAAATATCAATGTGGAAATTTAGAGAAGACAATTTTAATGATTGACTTTTCAATTAAAAGATCTTTTTTATCTTATGGTCTGTGTGCATCACCTTCAGGTAAGTCACAATTGATTTAGTTAGCATAATCGAATCAGGATCACTGTGTGCTGATTGAATCCACCTGTCTGAAAGGTCTTTGAAAGTGGTGTGCCTCTTTATAACAACACATTGCTACTTAAGTGGGATCTTGTAAATGCTCCTTTGGAGATTGGCAGAAACATCTTGTCTACTTATAATCTGCTTTTGGAGAGTGAACAAATGTTTCAAACCAGAGAAAGAAAGTTATTTGGAAACTAGTTTCTATAATTTTGGTCACAAAAGTCCTGTGACTCAAAGAGTGAAAACAGACTCTGGCCATGCGATTACACACTGCCTGCTTCCAGAAAGGTCTGGAAAGGATAGACATGTCCCTCTATATCTCTGTCCTGAGATTATCCAGGGGACAGAGGTGACTTCTCTGTTGGCTTGTCATCATGAGGGTGACAAACCAACAAAGAAGGATCTGTCCCTGCAAGAGCGAAGAATGAGGACACAAAATTAAGGAGAAACCAAGATTGAAGAGCCAAGAGGCCAGGAGGAGATGTCCAACTTTGGTCTAAGTCATCAGTGCACACAGTCAAACCAGACCCCAAGGCCACCAAGCTCCAGCCCCTAAAGGGGGAGGAAGCTCCTGGGAAGGAAGCATGTGATCAGCTCCTAAAACGACATTTGTCAGCGGACCATTGTCACACTGCCACTTTTGCGTCCATCAAAAATCCAGATGTAAATCCATTGGCCTCTGTTGGACCAGCGTCTCCCTCAGTCTAAGAAACCTCCCTCTCAGGCCTGGAGTCCCAGACCCAGTGAGCCCCTTAATCAACAGGTGCCCAGCTGCTCAGATGCCTCAGCTGTAAAATGAGGCATTTAGACTAGATGGGAGCTTAGTACTCAGTTCTTCTCTGACATCTGTAAGCCTCCAAATTTCAGAATCAAATTTCAAATTCTCAAATTCACTCTTGTTTGAAGTCTTTCAACCTTCAAAACTTTAAGAATTTAAATATTCTTTTTAAGTGTGTGTGTGTGTACAGTATGTATGTGTGTGTCCAGTGTGTGTGTGTCCAGTATGTGTGTACAGTGTGTGTGTACAGTGTGTGTGTGTATGTGTGTGTGTGTGTGTGTGTGTGTGTGTGTGTACATGTATGTGGCTCCAGGTGCATGTGGAAGCCAGAGGAGGGTGTTGGATCCCCTAGAGTTACAGGCTGTTGTGAGCTGCCTGATATGGGTGCTAAAAACTGAACTTGGGTCCTGTGCAGTGTACATTCACTGAACTAACTCTCTACAAGACTATACGTTTATTATTAAACAGATAAATGTGCTCTGCTACATGTAGTACAATCTTTATATTTACTCAAACAGTGATCATTTTTTGTAGTAAACATGTTCAAAATAAAGCCAGTGGTAGTGCACGCCTTTAATCCCAGCACTCGGGAGGCAGAGCCAGGCGGATCTCTCTGAGTTTGAGGCCAACCCAGTCTACAGAGCGAGATCCAGGACAGGCACCAAAACAAACAAAACAAAACAAGACAAAAAAAACACAAATAATAACAACAAAAAAACTTATTCAAAATATTTTCTTCTAGCTTTGTGGAGTGTGCAGCAGAGTATTGCTATTCACAGTCCCCTTCCTTTGAAATAACACCCCAGCCATCCTTGTCCTATCTCACTGGAACTCAGCACCAATCAATCACACTGCTCCCATCCTCCAACCTCACTTCCCCAGTCTCTAGGAATCACTCTTCTATGCTCTGGTTCTAGGAGCTCAACCGTTTTAAATTTCACATGAGCGAGACCATGTGATGCTTGTCTTTCTGTGCCTAGCTCAAATCACTTAACGTAATGATCTCCAGTTGGACATCTGTGACAGGATTTCATTGTTTTAATGGCTGAATAATATCCCATTGAATATATGTGCCACATTTTCTTTATCCAATCACCCAGTGATGGGCATTTGGCTTGCTTCCAGTTCTTGACCACCATGAATGGCGCTGCAGTGAATATAGGAATGCTGACACCCTTCTAGACTGAGTCCTTCACTGACATTTCTACCCTGAGTGCACACAATCACCAAGGTGTTAGGAGGGTCAGAGGGTACACAAGTGCACGGACCGAGTCCTTCACTGGCATTTCCACCCTGAATGCACACAATCGCCAAGGTGTTAGGAGGGTCAGAGGGTACACAGTGCACGGAGATGGTGGGAATGGGGCAGCTGTGTCTCCAGAGACAGAAAGGTTCTATAACCAGCCCATGGTAATGACCAAAGAGCTCTGCAAATGCACCAACAAACAACTGGATACTGAACTTCTGAAGAGTAATTCGGTGATGGATAAGCTACACTTTAAGAAACCTACTTTTTATACCAGATGTAGTGGTAAATGATTGTCATCCCAGCATTTGGGAGGCTGGGGCAGGAAGATTCCTATGAGTTCAAGGCCAGTCTGGGGTATAACAATGAGTGCCAGGTCAGTCAGGATTACAAAACAAGACACTGTCCCCCCCAAAAAAAATTAAGAAAAGAATGGAGGGATGGAATGAGAGAAGAATGGGAGGGATGGAAGGAAAGAGGGAGAGAGAGGGAGGGAAAAAGAAAGCCATTTATAAAAAAAAGTGTGAGCAGAACCGGAGGCTTTAACTGAAAGGAGGTTTGGGTGCCAGTGTGGTGGGGAAACAACTCCTACTGGAGAGCCAAGCAGCTGGGAGCCCACAGCCAGAGGAACCCAGCAGCGCCCAGCTCAGCAGAGGCGGGCATCTCTGGCTTTCGGAGTCTAACGTCGTCGTCACACTCTGGCTCTCCCTCTGCCTTAGGCTCACACAGATCCCAGCTGCTCACGGAAGGTGCCACCTCTGTCTCTTTAGCAGAGTTTTCGGCTTGGCAAACATCCATCCGCCTGCACTAGGAGAGCAATTCCTCACCTCCTCTTGCCTTTGCCTCCCCTAAGAATATGGAAACGAGAAGGTAAGCCTTGTGGGTAATAGGACGTAAGAATCCCAAAATGGCGACTAATTACAGCATTTGCAATTATTGCAGATTTTGATTTTCATAATAACTTTTCATGCTTGTGTTGACCAGAGGGAGATTTTTATTCCCAAATGTGCCCATGTCAAATTTGTCATTATCATCCAGGAAAAAAAATCAAATGAAAAAGCTTTTCAAAAGAGGTCACGTTTACTCGCTGGAAATGAGAAATGAATATTTATTGCCAGATCTCTGTCTAGATTAAAACATTTTTATTTAACACCAGTTGCAAGTGTAAATTATTCACGTGTTTACATTTCAATGGCTTTTGCTCCCTAACGATGCTGCTTTTCCAGAGTGCCTAGTGCGATAATGAACTGCCCCTTCAGCTCGTAGTATTATTAAGCAAACAACTAACTTAAACTTTTTTAAAAAACATTGAGTAAAGGAGTGGTCCCCAACAGTTTATTTTGTCAGTTTCAAGCTAACTTCCCAAAGCACAGCAGTCCTGAGAGGGCTGGCCGCAGCCTGCCGGAGAGTGATCTAGCACTGCACATGTAGCCATCTCCTTAGGTAACAAACACAAACCCTGCACTTGCTCAAACCGTGATATTTGGCAAGAATCATTTTCCTAGAAGCGACGATCGGTTGTGGGGGGGGTGGAGGGGGAGAGGAAGAGAATGACAGAGATGTGGAGAGAGGGAAGGAGAGGGATTGAGTGGGGGGAGAGAGGAGAGAAGAGGAGAGGGGAGGGGAGGGGAGGGGAGGAGAGGAGAGGAGCAGAGGAGAAGCACTCCCCTTCTCCAGCAGAGATGGGCTGAGTCTTTTAATAGCATGATGTCACCACTCACTCTTCTCTGCTTTCTCAGGTTACTGCTTAATGATGGGAGCTGTTATCAGTAACAGCAATAACTCCATCTGTTTCTGAAGCTTCAAGTCTCCAAAAACACTTGCACATGTGTAATCTCATTCAAGGGATGTTCCCTTCCTGGAAGAGCTGAGGAATATGTACACCAAGAGAACAAAAAAAAACCCAACTTAATCCTTTACATCTTAGAGTCTCTTAAAGACGATTTGTTTCCAACAAATCCAAACCGCCGGCCGTGTGGATCTTTTCCAGTTCTTGCAACGACACCTCAGCGTCCATATGTCTCAGCGTTCACACCTTCTCACATCCCTCGACTTAATAAGCTTCTATTTCCAAGGGAATGGTCGGTAAGTTTTGTTTGTTTTGTTTTCTCCATGGCAAGTGTAGCTGCTGGCCCTCAACAAGCTGAAGCAAGGCTTCCCTGGGCTCTGTAACAGACACTGTGGTCAGGAGTTAAAGCATATGCCTGGCTTCCACATATCGAAAATCCAGGAGGAAACACAAAACTCCTCTGAAGTGAAAGGTAATGAAATGTGACATGGAGTAGGAACGACAAGAGGAATGCTAGAGGAGGTTCTGGAAGACTGCTCTGGAAGGGAAAGCTAGCCTGGCTAGGAGGGACGAGAGAGTCTTCATGGACTGTGTCCAATGTCTCCTAGGACATGCCAGTTCCAAGAAAGCAAAGAGGGAAGATGAGCTTGTATTAGGCAGTCAAGAAGTGGTCATGGAATTCCTAGAGGAGAGGCCTCAGCTATGTGGGTCACATGCGTTGAACTAAAGGAGTGGAAAAATTGCGCATGGCCAGGGAGATAGCTCAACTGGCCAAGTCCTTTGCCCCACACTTATGACGACTTGAGCTCAGATTTCCAGTACCCACCACCCATGAAAGAGCGGGCACCTCTATTCCCACTGGGGAGACAAAAGGGATCCCTGGAGCATGCAAGCCAGCCAAACTCACTGAATCAGGGAGCTTCAGGTTCATGAAGAGCCCTTGTCTCATAAAATAAGGTGCAGAGCAACTGAGGTAGACATCTGATGTCAACTTCTGACTTCCACACATGCATGTTTGCATCAAACCTGCACTCACATTGCACAGGAACACATGCACATACAAAGCAATTAATTACTTAAAGATGTACACCCATTGGGCCAGAGTCAAAGCTGGTCAAAAGTTAAAATCATGAGAAAGAACTTTCTTGGTTGTAAGCTATATTCTGGCTATTTCCTCTGGTGACGCCCTGTGAGATGGAGGAAAAGGGGACTCTGGGTAGAGGACATCTTCTAATGAGGTCAAGCTAAGTTGATGGACACTGCAGCCAGGGACTGCAGCAGGAAAGAGGAGGGAGATGGCTACATGAGCCCTGTGGCCAATAGGCACATGCCAGGGCCTGTGTGCCACTCTGCGGGAGTCCAGAGGACTGGCTGGAGAGGACTCCAGAGATACCAACCAGAGTGCCCAGGGGATAAATGACCATGGATCCTATGGATTGCTGCAGACTGGCTGGGTTGGGCAGCAAGAGGATGACATTGGTCAGATGTGCAAGAGGACAGACAGTTGGGCTCCGGAGTCAGTATAGCAGCCCTGAGAAAACTCATCGAGGGCCATGCCAATGAAGCCATCCATACCGAAGTGACAAGAAGTGACAACTGAAATCCAAAAGGACAGCTCCAGCGGAGAGGGTTCTGACTCAGCATAGGGGCCAGGCACAGGAAGAGCCACGGAGAAGGTACAGCCAATCGGGTCTATGATGGAGCATGCACTGGGCCAGAGTCCCAACCCCAAAGCTGGTCAAAAGTCAAAATCACGAGAAAGAACTTTCCCAGTTGACAGCTACATTCTGTTTCCTCTGTTTCCAGCAGGAAAGGAGCAAGGCTTCCAGAACAGTGGCCACGAGTGTCCCATGTATCCCTTTGGCTAGATGGAGAACTGTAGAAATTAATTTTGAATATTGTTTCATGTGTGGAGTCGGACTCAGCAGCTCAAGGTAACCTATTGTAATTTTCTCACTCGTTAACATGTCTCCTTTTATCTGATGGGATGAGCCAGGCATTTAGTGTCATTCCTTTGGCTTCCTGTCAAATCAATTTAGCCAATGGAACCCTATCCCAGGACACATCTTTAAGACGTAGCAGATTCAGTTACGTTGGAAATTAAAATTGGCCCTGGGATGCAGCTTAATGGTAGAGTGCTTGCCTATCATGCGAGGGACCTTGGATTCCATCCTGGCAAGCAGTTATCCTTCCCAGTTCTGCCTGAAATGCACAGGGCCAAACAGCCCACAGTTGCTGAGTTCCTTCAAATTCTGCTTTGTCTTCAGGGCCACTGTATTGAACCTAGAAGCCAGACGGTTCCTTTTGGCTCTCTTCTCTGCATACGCTGGTACGCTGAGTTGAATTTATAAAGTAGTCACAATAAGAGACAAACAGCAGCAATTAATAATGAAAGGAGCAACCGTAACAATACACTGTAATAAACTTTTCTTAAATTTATAAACTCTTCGCTTCTGGAACATTCCACTGAGCTGTTTCAGACTATGGTAGACTGTGGGTTACTGAAATGATGGAAAGGGGAGCCTCAGATTGTGGGGATACTCTAGGCCTTCTGTGAAGATGGTCCCAAACAGATACTATTCGGCCCAGTGGGTCAGTTCCTCACTGTACAATGTGGCAAGTACCTAGAAGCCCACAGCTGGTCCTGCCTGGGTTCTGAGTCTCTAGGCAGACCACTGTCTATTGAGGGTGATCACTCACATGTCTCTCCTCGGGATCACAGGACATCTTCCTCCTGGACAGAACACACTGATCCCCACTGTGAAGAACCCTCTGTTTGAGTTCCCACCACGGCCACTATACAAATTCCCTTCCAACCAGCCAATTCCCATCCTTTCTAGTTGGTCCCCAGCCTTCTATGTCATTGAGTTTTGTAAAGAACATGAACTGCCAGGTCCCTTTTCCACAGCTTTGCCTCAGAAAACCTGCTCCACCAAGTGGCATCAAAGCCATCACTGAGGGCTTCCCTCTGCACCTCTGTGAGTGGCTTCCACGCAAAATTCATACATAGAGACGTGCCGTATCATTTGGTAGAAATGGAGTCTTCAGCAGAGTCAGGCTAGCTAGTGATAAAGGGCTCCACCACCCTCCAGGACCCTGGGCCCCCGTGTTAGCATGTCTCTCACTTGGGATGGCCAGGATGTGCGATTGGAAAAATTGTTGTAAGGCAATTCAAAAAATTGTATAAGGAAGTCACGAATCCGGAACCTCTCCGTGGTATTTAATTCACAGAGAAGGCATTTGTTGTTTTTGGACAAGAACAAGTTCCAAAGATATAACAGGGTCCGTGGGGAATGGTTTTCTGTCTCCTTACCCTGTCAGCTGGCTTGGGAACAGGACCCTGGATCTGCCTCCAGGGCTTCTGGTTCTCATCACCACAGCTCCTGCTCCTTCCAGGCCCCACCCCTCCTCCATTGCTTCTACCCCCACACCATCCCCTCTCTGCTTGCCTTCCTCCTGGATAGAACGGTCCCATACCCCAGCTCTCCCCAGGCAGTCTGGTTTCTGCCTACACTTTCCACTCTCATGAGACTCTGGCTTGGGTCATAAATTAGAAGATGTCTTACAGCTCATGCCACCAAAAGTTTAGGGTGAGATGGTCTAGTTAAACAAAAGGATCATAGTAAATGTTCTTTCCTTCTACTAGACCTGTAACCCACCTGCACCTTACTTCAGGAAACCTGATGCTTGGAACAAGGACCTGAACCAACCCATAGCATCAACAGTCAGCACTCAGCTATCCATTCAAGCTAACAGATGCCTAGTTAGTTAGTTAATTAGCTAGTTAGCTAGTTAGTTAGATGTTAGATTTTGGCAGGATCTCACCGTTTCCCAGTCTGGCCTTGAACTTATGAACCATACCATAACTTCCTGTTGTAAGCTCTAGGATCACAAGCATGAGTCACCATGCCCATAGACGCCTTGGGGGGACAGAGTGTTAGGAAAGAGTCTTAATCTACAACCAAGCCGGCATGAAACTCACTGTGTAAGGCCAGGCTGTCCTTGAACTCCCAGAAGTCCTCCTTCCTCAGCCTCCCCAGTGCTGGGATTATAGGCACGAGCCACCACACAAGGCACATTGGCTGCTGGGAAGAGCCATCTCTTAAATGGTGTGTGCTTGATTACAGGTCCCAATGTAGGAGCTCTGTGCTGCAGTTTGAGAAGGAACGTTATTTTTCACCTCGCACCATCGGCTACGCCCCCTGTATCTCCTCCACTTAGGCAAAGAGTACTCTGTGAAGTCTAACTGTTTTCTTTGTCCCACAGCCATCAAGCTTAAAACAGAATCACGGGTGCCTCTATTATTCCTGAGAGCAATTGTCTCTTGTCCTCCAATGTGGACCACTTTGACACTTAGAATAACTTCAACATGGACCAAAGCTGCTCATAGAGCTACATTGCCATTTTTATCCCATGGAGTTAAAAACTTTTAAATCTAACATGGTCCTTGAAAAAAAAAAAAAGACTGTAGAGAAACATCCTAGGCTCTCCCTCCAGCCTCTGGCCCCACTCTACATCTGTACCCCAAGGCTCCACTTGCCCATCCCAGGAAAGGGAAAATAAAGATGAGCAGCTGTTTTTCCTCTTCTTGGAGAAATGATTTTTCCTCCACCCATTTCGCTCTGAGATATTCATGATCACGTGTGAATAAAAACATAAAGTGCAGTGATTAGGGGAACGGTGATACCACATAAGCACAGGGGAAATTGGCTACCACCGAGACCATCCGTCAAAGCAGTTGGGCCATCAGAGCGGGGCTCTGGGGAGGGCCCGGGGCTTCTGACTGTACCACACGCATGTGTGGGTATTAAAGAGATCTGCCTGCCCAGGGACCTGTCACTGTAGTACAGTGACACTAAACAAAACTTGGGAGGTTTCTTGTTTGTTTGTTTTTGTTTCTGTCTTCACTTGAGAAAACTGTGAATACAACACTTCCTACATCCAAGTGCAGTTTAGCTGTTCAGTGCTGATCTGTACCGCAGTATGGACAGACTCCCGGTGAGCGAGCAGTGTGGAAAGATGTATACACCAGGACATGTTCATATCAAGCTTTATATTATCAGATTGATTGGTTGGTTGGTTTATTCACACGTGTGTGTGTGTGTGTGTGTGTGTGTGTGTGTGTGTGTGTGTGCAAATGCCATTGTGCATGTGTGGAGGTTAAAGGACAATTTTCAGGAGTCAGTCCCTTCAACCATATAGGTCCCAGGGATCAAATCCAGGTTGCCAGGTTTAGAGGCAAACACCTTTACTCACTGAACCATCCTACTGACCCCAAGCCTTTTTCTTTTTTCTTTTCCTTTTTAAAGGGTTATCTAGAAGAAACATCATTTAAGTATTAAATGTGGGGTTTTATGTTTGTTTGCTTTGTGGTGTGTGTGTGTGTGTGTGTGTGTGTGTGTGTTGTGAGGGGAGGAGTTGGTGACAAAATGTGGCTGGTCTCAAACTCCTTGGATCCTCCTTTCTCAGTGTCTCCCCATGCTTCCTCACAGATGGTCTTTGTCCACCTTCTGACTGCAGTTGAGCTATAAAGTATTTGGAACAGGCTCAGTCTATCAACCATTTTACTTTGTTGGCACTGCAATGCTCCGGCTTTTCTGTGTGCTCGTGCATGAGGTAGGTGGTTTGTGATCTTTCTACTTAACTCACAGAACCAGGATGCTAGACGTGCATGTGTGTGGAACACATGTTCAGTAGAGGCAGGACTCCATGGCCAGCAAAGTGCTTCTCCTGCTCTGGCTGCTTCCACGGAGCCTTCCCAGGGTCACCTCAGCCCCATGCTTTCCCTCTGGAAACAAGCACATTTTCGGTGCAGAATCCCAAACCAGCCTCTCCCCCACCCCCCAACTCAGCCTCTCCAGCTTTTTAATTTAGAGGAGTGTTGAAATGTGCAGAGCGGCGGGGTCTTGGCTTGCTCTTCAGCATGAACGTAAATAAATCTTTTCCAGCAAATCTCCAAGGGGTTTAGGCAAAACTTTGTGAGTTGCCAGAGCAGAAAGCTAAAAACAATTCGGGTTTGTTTGTTGAGCCAAAAAAATGGACATCTTGTCCAAAGTACAATTTAAAGCATTATTTTTTTTTGTATCAAAGAATTTAGCAATGTGATTTCCAACTCAAGAATTCGTCTGCAGTTTCCCAAGAATGTACCTCCCTCCCCTTCGCCACCAACCCCCTCCGTCCCCGCACACACTTTTTAACTCTTAAAGGAAAAAGCCGAAGGCGACAGACAGAGTAAACTCGAACACCTCTGCAGGATGCTGACTAAAGCCTGCAGCCAAGTCATGTTAGCGATCCAAAGCCCCAAACAAGCGAAGTTCAGCCCACCATGGGGAGGACACAATGTTGTCTTTTACCCAAATCTGGGACCTGTTTCTTCTTGATGCTTGATTATTTTTGTTTGTCTGTTTGTGTTTTGTGTGTTGGCTTTTTGCTTTCTTCTTGTGATACTGAGACAGGGTCTTCTGCAGCCCAGTCTAGCCTCCAACTCAGTATGTAACCAAGGGTGACTTAAGACCCGGGTCCTCCAGCCTGAACCACCACCACACCAGGCTGACGGGGGTCTCCTTGTCAACAGTGATGAGCACCATCGAGGACCCTGAGATACGTGCCACCACCACCCCAACCAGGAGAGGCACTCAGCGAGTACTTGTGAAACCAAAAGATACTTCAGCTCTTGCTGGGAGACTGTCGCTCCACAGCTAGACCGGTTTTCTGTTTATTAAAAAGTGCATAACTCTGTGAAAAGAATGTTTAAATGTGAAAAATAGAAACCTTCATTATTCTTCTGGACCTTAAGAGGCACTGTTACCCACACTTCACCTCACCCTTTCTAGGCAGCATCACAGTCCTCTGTGTGAAGCCTGATCCTAGGCACAGAGGGAGTATTCCTTATGGGACTCCTCTTCATCTCTTCCTCTGACAAGAGCAAGGTACCAGGTATAGTGTTTATACCCGGATGACATCCCATTACTCTTCCTGGATTGCCTAACACTGTGGGTGGAGAGACTTATAAATGTGTTTCTAGGCTCTGCCAGTGTTTCTAGAAGGTCAAGGTGATTGTAAGACAACTTTGTAGCACTGATGGCATTTTTTTCCCTAGCTATCTTGAAGGATGTCTACAGTATATTACTGTGGTACTTCCTGTGAAGGATGCCTGCAGCATGTAACTGTGGTACCCACCCACCCCCATCATCCAAAAGGATGCTTGCAGTGTGTAACTGAGGTACCCACCTGAAGGATGCCTTCAGTGTGTAACTGAGGTACTACCCCTGAAGGATACATGCAGTGTGCAACTGTGGTACCCCTCCGTAAAGGATGCCTGCTGTGTGTAACTGAGGTACCCAACCTGAAGGATGCATGCCGTGTGTAACTGTGATACCCCCACCACCACCACCATGAAGGATATTTGTAGTGTGTAATTGTGGACCTCCCAAGCCCCATGAAGGATGCCTGAATAGTGTAACTGAGATATCCCCCAGAAGTATGCATGCAGTGTGTAACTGTGTTACCCCCCCCCCGGAGAAGGATGCTACAGTGTGTAACCGTGGTACCCCCAAGAAGGATACTTGCATTGTGTAACTATGATACTTCCATGAAGGACACATGCAGTGTGTAACTGTGGTACCCCCCATGAATAATGCCTGCAGTGTAAATGCAGTACTCCCCCCTACCACCACCATGAAGGATGTGTGCAGTATGTAACTGCAGTATCCCCCAAGAAGAATGCATGCAGTGTATAACTGTGGTGCCCACCCACCCACCCCCATCTTTGGTAAGGATATGTGCAATGTGCAACTGTGGTACCCCACCCCCGAGAAGGATGTCTGCAGTGTGTAACTGTGCTAACCCCCAGAAGGGTACTTACAGTGTGTACCTGCAGCATCCCTCGTTTGTAGCTGTCCACTTACATTTTTATTAAACATCTGGCTTTTGCCGCAGCCCTCCCCAAGGTTGGATGGGAGCCACTCTGAAACCTGGAGGCAACGTCTGGTGTTCTCTAATTACCTATTTTCCCCTCAAATAGAAACAAAATTGACTATAAGAAAATTTGGCAATGACTCGTTGTATGGATAGTTAGGATCATCCATTTAGGCCCAATTTCATCAGTTATATTTAACATGCATCAGAGAAACTCTGTCAAGGGGAAGCACCACAGTTAATAAAATTAACTGGTTTTGTAGCACACTCATCACTGGTACAGGACTTTTGGTCAAGTTGTGGAAATCTCAGTGCTGTCCCACCCAGGGCTAAGGATCCCGCCCTTCTTTCTCTATTCCCTACCACGGTCTCTGCATCTGGCCAAAGCCCCTCACTGTACTATGTACTGGTGGCTTCAGTGTACCCTACGGACTTATCCTCTGAACCTGAACACTCTGTCCCATCACCAATGAGCTGAGCACACACTGGTGGCGATCCATTGCTTCTACCCATTCATGGTCAAGGGCCTTTGTGGCCTCTTCCCAGGGAATTGACCTTTTCTGTTACTTCACAGCACCCGCTTTACTTACTGGCCGACAGTGGAGCACACGTCACCATGATTTCTGTCAGTGACAGTAGTCTCCTGTCTCCTGACTTAATGGGATGGAGCCATGCTTGCTTCTGCCACAGAGGGTGCCCTCACCTGTTGAATTCATGTTTGCTGAAGGGATAAAGGGGGGACAACAGCTGTGACTTGTAGCCTACACTGACTTTTAGATGACTGACTTTCTTGACTGTCACGATAAGTTCCATGATTCTCTTCACTTAGCAAGCATCTGGTATTTTTTCCTTCCTAGTCTCCCTCCCCTGACCTTAGCACAGGCTGCATGGAGAAACTCACACTCTGCCATTGTCCAACCACCCAACCTGTGAGTCATCTTCTAACTACCATCACCAGGCCGAGAAACTGTCTTCCAACCTCCAAAGAGCAATAGTTGGTTTTGTCTAGCTTTTCCTCCAAACATATGGAATTAACAGGGGAAAATAGCAAAATATAGGAGTTATAACTAACTACATAGAACTTATATTAAATGTAAATCAGCTAAAAACGCCAACTAAAAATTAATTCTGTAAAGACTGAAGTTAAAGAAACACTGAGACCCAATTACTGCATAACTAATAATTGCACTAAACACACATACAAAGATGCAAACAGCTTAAATTAGAAATGCAACACATACCCTGAGTGGGTTGTGGGGGATAAAACATGACAACAAAAACCAGCCATAGGAGGCATAATATCCTTCCTTCACAATGTCGCTTTCAAAAACTAGTTATTTCTTTTTTTTAAGTGTGTGTGTGTGTGTGTATGTGTGTGTGTGTGTGTACATGTGTGTGCATGAGTGTAGATCCTCTTGGAGGCCAGAAGAAGGCATCAGATCTCCTGGAGCTAGAGTTCCAGACTGTTGTGAGCCACTCAGTGTGGGTGCCAGGAACTGAACTCAGGACCCTGCAAGAGAGGTGTGTTCTCTTGGCCTCCCCGACCCTGCACATGTTCCTTTTTAGTGTCTGGCAGAAGAGAGTTGAAGAAAAGTCACATCCCTATTAAAGGGGAAATTTCATAATGACAAAGGGGCACAGCATCAATAATGTGCAGCTGTCACAGATGTGTGTGCTCTTGACAGCATCTCAAAATGCAGCATGGAAAACATGACAGTAAAAAGAGAAAGATAAAAGGCAAATCGACAATCATAGTTGGAGGTACCAATGACTCCTATTGAGACTGTCTTAGTCATTGTTCTATTGCTGTGAAGAGACACCATGATCATGGTAACTCTTACAAAGGAAAATATTTTATTGGGCCTGGCTTACAATTGCAGAGGGTTAGTCCATTATCATCATGTCAGAAAGCACAGTGGCAGGCAGGAGTGACACACTTCCTCCAACAAGGCCACACCTACACCAACAAGGCCCACCTCCTAATCCCTCTCAAGTAGTGCCACTCCCTGATGACCAAACATTCAAATCCATGAGCCTATGGGGGCCACTCTTATCCAAATCACCCCAGGGACCTATTGAACTCCTGACAAAAATGAAGATAAATGAGAAGGTAGAAGACCTTGCTCATGTAGTGAAGCACAGCCAGCAACAGACTCTTTCAATTGCAGTGAGAATGGACACTGATCTACAAAGAATTGATTAATGGAGAAAGACTGACATCTGACTCATATGTACTTAGGCTACAGTGGGACTGTGTTTGAAATACAAAACAATAAGATGGGTTTTTAGCACCTCAACTACTTGGAAATGGAAAACATCTCTCTTAGCAGGCAGGTATAGGAAAAGCCAAGAGAGATTAGAAAGTGTTCCACACTACATACACAATGATGAAAATGCAGGACACTGAAAGTGTAGTCAACAGCCAAAGCAAGTGTGGAGGAGAATGTGGCATTTAAATGCTGAGCATAGGGAGAGCTTTAAAAAAAATAATCCAAAATCAGAAATCTAACTTTCTAGGTAGAAAAGCTAGAAAAAAAGTTAAGTAGCCCAAAAATTAAAGTAAGGTATAAGAAAAAATTTAAACTGAGAATAAAATCCAATAAAATTGGAAGCAGAAAATTATAGAGAGAATTGGTTTAAAGATCACTTTTTATAGAAGCTAATAAAATTGATGAGGTTATCCAAAGTCTAAT